TAGAGACAGAGCCTCAAGCTGTCACCCTGGGTAGAGTGCTGTGGCATCACAGCTCACAGCAACCTCCAACTCCTGGGCTCAAGCGAATCTCCTGCCTCAGCCTCCCAAGTGGGACCACAGGTGCCCACCACAACTCCCAGCTATTTTTTGGTTGCGGCCATCATTGTTGTTTGGCGGGCCCGGGCTGGATTCAAACCCACCAGCTCAGGTGTATGTGGCTGGTGCCTTAGCTGCTTCAGCCACAGGCGCCAAGCCAAGTATTACAATATTAATACAGTTTTTTCCTTTCTTAAAATATGTATACATTTTTTGGCACCCTCTGTATATATACACACCCTTAAAAATACACAATATATACACACCTATACCCTACAATGTACACATGTCCAGTAGTATGCACATAATTCTGCACATGTACATACATGTACACCAGGTATAGATATCCATATATAAACATGCACAGTGCATATGTACCCCTGTGCAGACACACTTGCATACACATACTCTAGATGCAGTGGTTCTCAACCTTCCTAATGCTGCGATACATTTTCATTGTTACAAAGGGGTCGCGACCCACAGGTTGAGAACCGCTGCTCTAGAGACATACCTGCATGCACGTACACAAACATGTACCAAGTATGTACACACAAACAAAGTAAACCCACATTCAAATGTGCCAAATGTGCCAAATGACCCCTGTGCACTACCCAGCCTCCATCTACCAGCTAACACACCCTGCTTTCCCTCCTTGATAGCCATGCTCAGCATTCAAGTGCCTTTCTTCTTTCCTGCGGCCAACGTCTTCCTCTTTGTCTTCACTGCTTCCACCGTATTTCACCTGCAGCAGCGGCTGGCAAAGGTTCAGCCCTTGTGGGAGTTACAGTCACCAGCACCCACTTGGATGATCAATACCACAGGCCACATGGGGAACCCAATAGGTCTGACCTCGAAGGAGTTAGAGACATCAGTGCCCATGTCAATGATCAAGGCCACAGACCACCTAGGGAACCAGATGGACCAGTCCTCAAGGACGTTACATCCACCGGTATCCATGGGGATGCTCCATGCCATAGGCCGCATGGGGGACCAGATGGACCTATCCTGGACAAAGTCACAGAGGCCAGCACCTATGTGGACGATCAATGCCATAGGCCGCCTGGGGAACCAGATGGGCCAGTATGCCACCCTGTATGCCCTTGCCAAGATGAATGGGCGGCCTGCATTCATCCTGCCTGAGATGCACAGGACGCTGGCCCCTATCTTCAGAATCACCCTCCCGGTGCTGCCTAGCACCATGACCATCATCCACTGGCAGAACTACCACCTGAACGACTGGATGGAGGAGCAGTACCGCCACATCCGGGGTGACTACGTGCGCCTCACAGGCTACCCCTGCTCCTGGACCTTCTACCACCACCTGCGCCATGAGATCCTCCAGGAGTTCACCCTGCATGACCATGTGCGTGAGGAGGCCCAGACATTTCTGCGGGGTCTGCAGGTGAATGGGAGCCAGCCAGTCACCTTTGTGGGAGTCCATGTGCGCCGGGGGGACTATGTCCATGTCATGCCAAATGTATGGAAGGGTGTGGTGGCTGACCGGCAATACCTGGAGCGGGCCCTGGCCTGGTTCCGGGCTCGTTACAGCTCTGCCATCTTTGTGGTCACCAGCAATGGCATGGCCTGGTGTCGGGAAAACATTGATGCCTCCCGTGGAGATGTGGTGTTTGCTGGAAATGGCATTGAGGGCTCACCCGCCAAGGATTTTGCCCTGCTGACACAGTGCAACCACACCATCATGACCATTGGGACATTTGGGATCTGGGCTGCCTACCTTGCTGGTGGAGAGACCATCTACCTGGCTAATTACACTCTCCCAGATTCTCCCTTCCTCAAAGTCTTTAAGCCAAAGGCAGCCTTCCTTCCAGACTGGGTAGGAATCCCTGCCGACTTGTCTCCCTTACTCAAGCACTAGTGCTAACCCATCCTTTGAAATATCTTCTCCTTTTCTGACTCCCCCAAGATCACTTCCAAGGCATGAGAAGTACTTTACAAATATATAAAATGTATAACCTCTTGCATGAAGATGCTTTGAGCTACAAGGAACAGAAGTCCGAATTAGCTGGTTCAAGAACTATATTTGTATGTTTCACACAATAGGAGCAAAGATGGCCCAGCATCGGGGTTAATTTACTTAGCAGGTCAACAAAGTCATGAGTTACATATCCAGATGTCACATCCTGTAATCCCTTTCAGAGGCAGCTAAAAGAGACTCATTCTTATTTTAGGTTCCTTTTGAAGAATGATGGAAACCTTCCTAAGCCCTTCACCAACAGGATTCTCCCCATATCTCATTGACAGGAATTTTCACATGCCCAGGTGGCCCACTAGGAGGCAAGGCAGACAAACCCACTGGGTTTGGCATAGCCTCACATCCTGAAGCTGGGGAGTTAACCAGCCTTGTGTGAAGGACATGGCAACCTGCAGAAACATTGAGTAATTTTTGCTAAGAAAGAGAGGGAATGGCCCTAGAATTGACAATGGGGTTGCCCCAAGTGGTTGTGTAGGTTGTTCACGACATAAGGCACCTGGTCAAGGAAGCCAGTGGGACTTAAACAGAGGGACTTAAACCCACAATGTACTCACCCAGCCAGGCGTCCCTGGGTCTGTGTCTGCCCAGAGGACTTACTTTTTTCCTGGTTATTTCCTCCAGAAAGGGTGCTTGAACCAGTTTGCACAAAAGTGCTTTCTTGGCTAATGCCTGGTGTGCAGCCAAGAGCATGTGCCCCACCTCTGTGGCTATGGCTTCTGTGGGCCTGGGGTAATTATCCTTGAGGACTTGGGAATAGGATGGCTCAGTGAACTTGAGAGCACTCCATTCATTCTTTCAATATGTGCTGGGGCACATCTGTTACAAACATCCCAGGATATCCTTCCTTCTTAGAGGATACATTTGTAACCATTACACAGATATCAAACAAATAATATTCATATAACCACCATTAGGAACACACTCACAGAACCTGGTAGTCCAAGAACTTGGGACTTGAACCCAACAGATCAAGACTGTGGTGAGCTGTGATTAAGCCAGTGAATAGTCCCTACACTCTAGCCTGGGCAATAGAGTGAGATTCTATCTCTGAAAAAAATAAATTTAGGACCTGGCACAGTGGCTCATTCTTACAATGCTAAAACTTTGGGAGGCCAAAGTGGGAAGATTGCTTGAGGCCAGGCATTTGAGACCAGCTTGGGTAGCATGGTAAGACTTCATTTAGGCCAGGTGCAGTGGCTCATGCCTGTAATCCCAGCATGCTGGAAGGCTGAGGCAGGTGGATTGTTCTGAGTTCACAGGTTTGAGACCAGCCTGAGCAAAGGCAAGACCCTATCTTTAAAAATAGCCAGTTGTTGTGGCAGGTGCCTGTAGTCCCAGCTACTTGGGAGGCTAAGGCAAGAAAATAGCTTGAGCTATGATGCCGTGGCACTCTACTGAGAGTGACAAAGTGAGACTCTGTCTCAAAAAACAAAACAAACAAAAAAAAGACTTCATTGCTACAGGGAAAAAAAAAGAAGAAGAAGAAGAAAAATTAGTTACATGTAGTGGCATGTTCCTGTAGTCTCAGCTACTCTGGAGACTAAGGTGACTCTGGACCACTTGAGCCTAGGAGTTCGAGGGTGGAGTGAGCTATGATTACACCACTTCACTCTAGCTTGGGCACCAGAGTGAGAACCTGTGTCAAAAAAGGAAAATTAAATTAAAAGATGT